TAGCTTGAGTGCGTCATTTGCAGTTTGTGTGCGTCATTCGTAATTTGAGTGCGTCATATGTAGCTTGAATGCGTCATTTGCAGTTTGAGTGCGTCATATGTAACTTGAGTACGTCATCTAAAGCTTGAGTGCGTCAATCGTAACTTAAGTGTGCCATATGTAGCTGGAGTGTGTCATATGTAGCTTGAGTGCGTCAATCGTAACTTAAGTGTGTCATATTATAGCTGGAGTGTGTCATATGTAGCTTGAGTGTGTCATTTGCAGTTTGTGTGCGTCATTCGTAATTTGAGTGCGTCATATGTAGCTTGAATGCGTCATTTGCAGTTTGAGTGCGTCATATGTAACTTGAGTACGTCATCTAAAGCTTGAGTGCGTCAATCGTAACTTAAGTGTGTCATATGTAGCTGGAGTGTGTCATATGTAGCTTGAATGTGTCATATGTATCTTGAGTGTGTCCTATTTAGCTTGAGTGTGTCATATATAGCTTGAGTGCGTCATTTGCAGTTTGAGTGTGTCATATGTAGCTTTAGTGCATCATTTGTATCCTGAGTGTGTCATATGTATCTTTAGTGCGTCATTCGTAACTTCAGTGCGTCATATGTAGCTCATTACAATTTTTTCCAATATCCCAATCATTACAAAAATCTGATTGTAAATATCTCTTCTTCAAAAATGAAATACGCGAGTTTTATAAATATTCCCTTATCGAACCTCGCAAGCTATATTTATTTTTGAGACTGCAGTGGAGGTAGTTAAAATAAATGTATGAAAGAAGCGCTGTGTATATTTACCCAGAAGGTTACCCGTGATTGGTTTCTATTAGTTTAGGATAGTAAATAGAGGAACTTACGTAATTCATATAAAGATCCGGATGATTTTTCTCCAATCCATCATCGAGGATCGTGACCACGACTCCGTGTCCTGTAATTCCTTCGGCCCAGGCTTCCTGCACGTTCATATCCAAACCCTTCCCCCTATTCTGAAACGAATAAACGATACCTGTATTTTAATAAAAATCCCTCGAACTTCATCGACTAACAATTTACTTGTAAAAAATTTGGGAACAAAATGTTTCAAAATTTATTTGAAAATTTGGGAACTAAATAAACTCAATTATTATAAAATTATATTATGAAACACTATCATCTGTTATCAATGTCATGATTAAATTTTACCATTCGAAATAAAAGATAAGTTAAAAGTTATAATAAATGATAAGTTATTTATAAGTTAACAATAAGATACAAAGAATGTAACAATGTTGTTAGACAAAATATTTTGCCACGGAACTTCGATTGTAATATGAATCTACGAGATCACATTGTAGTACTAAATTACATTTTCAATAATAGTAACAGAAGCAAGTGTGTAAGAATAATTGAAGTCAACCAACCAAGTACCACATCTGAGGCCACATCTCGTCGTTCAAAATAGTTCTTAGATTGGACGGACCACGTTTGATTATCAGGTCCCGTTTCGATCGTGATTTCACCCGTTGCTGCTCTGCTCGACGTACTCTTCGATCTTGTATTAACCTCTCGTGTACCTCTACGTGTGGTTCCGCTGACCTCTTCACCACAGATGAGTGCACCATGTGATACCAGTTATCTACTATCTGTAACAAATAAATATTTTTATGTTAATATCTTTGTAATTTGATCATTGGGGTAATTAGAATTTTTATTTAGGGAGAGGTATTGATATGTTGCTGAGAAGATATATTAATTACTTCAGAAATTTAGATTCAAGTTTCAAGTTTCAAATTTCAGGTTTTGGGTTTCAGATTTCAAGTTTCAGGTTTCAGGTTTCAAGTTTCAAGTTTCAGGTTTCAGGTTTCAGGTTTCAAGTTTCAGGTTTCAGGTTTCAGGTTTCAAGTTTCAAGTATCAGGTATCAAGTTTCAGGTGTCAGGTTACATGTATCAGATTGCAGGTATGAGATTTCATATTTCAGAGATCAGGTATTAGGTTTCATATTTCAGAGATCAGGTATTAGGTTTCAGGTTTTAGGTATCAGGTATCAAGTTTCAGGTTTCAAGTTTTTAAGTACTTAAATTACTAAATTTCCACGTCTCCAAATTTTCAAATATTCAAATACCTAATTTTGAAAACTTTTATAATTAAAAATTCTCAAATTTGCAAATTTCTAAATTGAGAAGTTCCCAAAATTGCAAATCTGAAAAGTTCTAAACTTCCAAATCTCAGAAACTTAAAAATTTCCGTATTCCTAAAAATTAAAAATCTCTAAGTAAACTACTAAATGTCTAAATTACTAAATTTCCCAAATTCTCTAAATTCCCCTAAGTCCCCAAGTTTCCCAAATTCCCAAAATCTTCCCTAATTCTCACAATTCTGAAATTGCCATGTTCTCCAAAATAAACCTTTGCCTCCAACCATTCCAAAAGTCACGAAACGCAGCCCCAAAATCAGGAAGAAAAACATTTAACACCTTAATCATAGTAACTTTCGATGTAACTAACTAGTGACTGTTAACGAAGTGGATACGTGTCGTTTCAGAATTGCGGCTAGTTGCTTTGCACAGTACACAATTTGCCTTTCACAGTTTAACCATTTCCAACAGACAATGTATTTCGACGAGGAAGCCAGCCCGGCTCTGTCTCTAGTCGTTGAAATAATATTTATCGAGACTCGAGAGTTGTAGTAGCAGGGAGCAATTAATCGCTTAGATCTCTTAATTTTGTTGAAACTAAACGGAGTTGCATGAATTTGCAGGAATTTAAAGCAAACTACGTTGTTCAAAGACCAGGTGCCAGGTATGTGGTTAGTATGTGGGGCCCTGTGATATTATACAGAAGACTGAGATCTCTTTAGATATAGGGATACTAATTTATGTTATTTGTGGTTGACAGAGAATAAGAATGAAGTTTTCAATTTCCCAAATTTTCAATTTTACAATTTTTCAACTTGCAAATTCTCAAAATTCCAAATTTTCAAAATTACAATTTCTCAAAATTCCAATTTCTCTAATTTCCAAATTCTCAAAATTACAATTTCTCAAATTTCTAAATTCTCAAAATTCCAATTTCTCTAATTTCCAAATTCTTAAAATTCCAAATTCTCAAAATTCCAAATTTTCAAAATTCCAAATTCTCAAAATTCCACATTCTCAAAATTCCAAATTCTCAAAATTCCAAATTTTCAAAATTCCAGATTCTCAAAATTCCAAATTCGCAAAATTCCAAATTCTCTAATTTCCAAATTCTTAAAATTCCAAACTCTCAAAATTACAAATTCTCAAAATTCCAAATTCTCAAAATTCCAAATTTTCAAAATTCCAAATTCTTAAAATTCCAAATTCTCAAAATTCCAATTTCTCAATTTCCCATTATTCCAAATTCCTAATTTCCCCATTTCTCAATTCCCTAGTTTTCCAAATTTCGTAATTTCCCAAATTCCCAATTTGTCAATTTCTCAATTCCCCAATTTTCTACCTTTCAAAATTCAAAATTTAAAAATTACTCAATTTCCCACTTTCCATATTTTCCAATCTTCCATTTTCTCAATTTTCTAATTTTTCAATATTTCAATTTCTTAATTTCCTAAATTTGTAATTTTCCAATTTCCATATTTCCCAATTTTCCAACTTGCAAAATTCAAAATTTCAAGAATACTCAATTTTCCACTTTCCAATTTTCTCAATATTCCCAATTTTCCCAATTTTTCCAATTTTTCCAATTTTCCTATTATTACCAATTTTCTTAATTTTCCCAAATTTCCAATTTTTTCAGTTTTCCTAACATTACCAATATTCCCATTTTTCCTAAAATTCCCAATTTCTCAATCTTTCAATTTCATATTTTTCTAAATTCTCAATTTGCCATTTTTCCATTTTACTTTTTCACATCTTCCTATTTGCAACATTTTAAAAATTGAGTCTCATAAAGCGAACTATAATGTAGTCAAATTTCCCCTGTGTAAAATACTAAAAATGTGAGAGTGTCACAAATAAAGAGTAACAAACTGTAGGGAGTGTCTCTCTCTACGTAAACCAAAATTGCACTGAAATTCATTCAAAAAACCCCAATCCCTATTGGAGATAAAAGCGATACCCGAATTAACTTTTACATTTGTCTCCATCTAACGGTATTAATCATTATTAATTATTCCTTCTTGTATTCGCATGTTTCGATTCAATTTTGTTCTATAATATTTTCCTCACGTAATTTTGACTGTTATTTTGTAATCGTTCTTGAATAAATAGTTTTTCCGTTTTGTACATAATTAATTACGACACTTTATTCGTCCACTGATCTCCTCGCCTTCAACATTCTCAAACAAGAAATAAACAATAAATTGCATCTTCAGTTCACAAACAAATAAAAAGCTACCAAAAAAGAACCAACAAAATTACCCAAATTAAATTAGAAAAGAAAAATAAATGTCTCTCCTGAGTTCACAGTCTCCGTAAGCTCCCGTATAAAAAGAAGTGACAAACAGCTCTCTGTATGTCCCTAGACACCTAGTGGTAAACGTTCGTGCACTACGTGTCTCTACACGATGAACAGTCGTTGAAAATTCGAAAAACTTCCAACCCCAGCAATTTGTCAGAGGCGGGATAAAAAATGAAAGCTTCATAGATTTCGCGAGTCCTTCCTTTTTTTTATTATTATTAAGAAGTATTCATCATCCGTGGATTACTTGATGCACAAGTTTGTTGGCCGGCGCGGCGATACATGGAAGAGGAGATATATGGCGGGGCGTAATGATAAATACGAAAAGTTAGCAACAGCTGCTACCTGCAAGCTTCTTACTGTTTCTTTTCGTGTGACAACTTACGTTTCGTTTTTTCGAGTCGGAAAAAATCTGTTTTCTTTTTTACTTTCCTTCTTGCGGAGTGCTGTTTGCGCTTTGAATTATGACCTTCGCTTTTCGAGGTCTTGTGGATTTGTTGTTTCGATTAAATTAGAGGTGTTGTGTTTTATGGACTTGTGTAGAGTACATTATGTTATTTTTTTGTGGAACTTGTAGTGGTGTCAGAGTGATAATAGTGTCAAGTGATTTTGATTAAATTTTTGGTGAATGTAGAATAAATAAATGTAGCGAATGTAAATTAAAGTGTATTGGATCGCTTGTGTGAATACTAATTATTTATGAAGATATGTATTTGTGGAAATAAAGGGAAATAATGGCGGGAAATGATAGATTACTAAATTTGGATTTAGATATACTTCATAGCCGAGGTGGTTGAATGACAGCTCCATCAATTAGAGGGGCACGAGTTCAAATACTGTCACCGGCAAAAACTATTTTCTTGTTTTTATATTTTTTTTTATTATGTATCTGCACGTGTGTATATTCATTTTTATATTTTAACATTGATCTCCGTTATTTTTAGTAACTTTTTCCTGACGTTTGTTAAATTTATTGTAATTATTGTGTTACTTGTCATTTGTATGGTTTGATATTTTTGTGTTTAAAACTTTTTATCTTACAAGATCACTGTTGACTTTTTTAGTAAGATTTTATATCATATATTTTTTAAATATGTAATTTAATACAATTACTATAACTTACTATGTTAATTTAAATATATTAATTGATGCATTATGTTCATTTATAATAACTTACACACAATTGTAAATAATTGTACAATTAATATTATGTTATTAAAATAATTAATTTTAACATTATATTGTAAAATAATATTATATTATATTATAAAATAATATTACAATCTAAAGTTGTAAATAAATTTTCCACAAAATGAAGTTTGAACAAAAATAAAAAATGAAAATAATAAAATACCAAAAATATTAAAAAATGAAAAAAACATACGAAGATGAATTTTTCATAAATAATATAAAAATTCAACATGAAATAAAAAGTCCATAAAAATAAAAATAAAATATTGCAATGTAAAGGAATGTGCTCAATTACAATACGTGGAACATCTATTAATCGTCCGTTTCGATCTGGATGGCATAGCACTAAATCAGATTCATTAGGGACTGCTTCGTGTCGGGTTATGCGATCTGGAAAGTCATGTGTGAGCAGTGATTGCTGAATTTGCAATTAACGGAGTGAAGCAGAAGCGACAACTCTTCAAACTCTCCAGAGCGAAACTTCGAAAACACGTTGGAAACTTGGCATCGTGCAAATAGTTTACGGTGGATATGAAATTCTCATCGAAAGACGCTCGATTACTGACGATTATCCTTATCAGTGGTAGAACAAAGTACATCGCTCTTTAATCTCTGAACAGTGGGTCAAATCGCTATGACTTCGTTGCAAAATTTTTTCAGTTCTTAATATTCAATTAAATATTCATTTTTCATTAGAAAATTCTGTAATTAATTGCTGAAGTAGTTTATAACAATATATGTCATCGGGATTACTGTGGAAAGGTTAGTGTTCGATCAAGATAGGTAGATTACTATTTAAGTGCAATTACTATGAGTATATTTCAGGTTTCAGGTTTCAGGTTTCAAGTACCAGGTGTCAGGTTTCAGGTTTCAAGTACCAGATGTCAAGTTTCAGGTTTCAGGTTTCAAGTTTCAGGTTTCAGGTCTCAAGTACCAGGTGTCAGGTTTCAGGTTTCAGGTTTCAAGTACCAGGAGTCAAGTTTCAGGTTTCAGGTTTGAGGTTTCAAGTTTCAGG